CTTCAAAACAAAGAGCTAAAATGTCCTGGCAGGCAACTGAAGCGCAGACAGATCCTCCACGCTGACGCCTTCCCAGCGGAGCGAGGAGCTGGGAGAGGCCAAAGAGACTCTGAGACGAGGGAGGAAGACTCACATACCTGACCTCCTCCTCCTGGGTCTGCCCTCGCAGGTCGTGCTCGAAGAAGAGCCCTTTGCGTGGGATGTAAGCCGGGTTCTTCCGATCCTCATCGTCGTCCAGGTGCTTGGCAACTTTTTTCCCAACTTTATTCTCCACGGGCTCAGTGCTCTCCTGTCGAAACCAGACAGCTCTCACCACTGCAGCAGTCCCTCTGTGAGAAACCCCCCCTCCATGACCCAGAGAATGCACGTTTAACACCTACCTGCCCGTCCCCACTTTGCCTCTCACCGGTCACAGCACCTTTGGAGTCAGGTTTATCATCCCCTTTCTCTGCTTTCGCCGCCGACTCGCAGGAATCATTGCTATCCTGCTTCAGTTCCACTTTGGCGCTTTCTTCCTCGCTGTAATCCTCTTCCTCTGCCTGAAAGGGCCCCAATTACTCATAAAAGCACCTTTAGCAGCAGGTCCCCCAGGAATTTCCCCCACAGGAGTCCTCAAACCTGGAGTTAGACCCCTGTTGCACTTGTTAGGGATCTGACTTTTTCAAAGCAGAGAACTAGCTCTCAAGGTTCTTCCTATCCCTATATTTTTACGGAAAAAGTAAAGACTAAACCCAACCCACAGGAGTCCTCAAATCTGGAGTTAGACCCCTGTTGCAAGTTGTTAGGGACCTGACTCCTTCAAAGCAGAGAATTAGCTCTCAAGGTTCTTCCTATCCCTGTATTTTTACGGAAAAAGCAAAGACTAAACCCAACACCTCTCTCCGCCAACTCCTACCAGCGACATCAGGTCCAAAAAGTCAGGCTTTCTCGAGCAGAGCCAGGACCAGCCCCTCCAAAAAAGCCACAGCCTCTCACCACTGGGCAAGAAAGGAAAGGGCTCGCGTGAGCCCAGCAAACAAGAGCCCTTGGACCGTCCCTTCCTTCCCACGCCGAGGGCCCGGATCCAGCCCGTGCCGCGCTTCCAAATTCCCTGGAGTTACTCAGCTGACTCACTCCGAGCACTCTGCTCGCAGGAGCCTGACCTCGTTTCACCCTCCAGGAGCCTGCAAGCCTTGCTCAGGCTGGAACCCACACTATAAATAGCTCCGCAGTGATTAACAAAAAGACTGCTCTATTTTTCTCTTTCAACACGGCGTTATTTGCACATCAACTGCTCCTTTTGTTTACGTTGGGGAAACCCAGACGTGGCATTATTTTTAGGCACAGGAACAGAGTCATCCTGGCACGGCGATGATGCAATACCTCCCCGCTGTGCACCAGTACGTGCACCAGTAAGTGCTGGGAGAGCCTCCACGCAGGTCTCCAGGCCTGAAGAGCTGCTGCACCACCACAAGGGTGACCACAGGGAGCTGCCTCTTACCATCCACGTTGCCACCTCTACAGCCCGCTGCGCTCCTTCCTCGTTAACAGCAGTTTAATTCACCAATTAACAGCCCATACGAGCTTTGATTTCACCCATCTCTTGCTCTGTGTTTTCTCTAACTGCTGCCCCCCTCAAGAGCCCCCCAACACCCACCTCCAGAGATGGGTTTTCTCTAGAAAACCTTCATTGTAATCACTAGAAACTAAAATTTCTCTGAACTTCCTTAAGATGTTAAACTCACGATTCCGAAATAAAAATCCAGGGAAACCTACAGCCTCTGAGACCCCCCAGGAGCAGAGAGGGGGGGTCTGGGTGCCTGTGAGGGGGAGAATTGTCCCAACACACACCCAGCTCAGCGCTGCCAGCGCTCACAGGGCGCGTCACCCCTCCAGCTGCAGAAGATGGGGATGCTGCCTGGGATGCTCCCAACCCAGCACTTAGGTTAATTTCAACTAATTAAAACACAACCCAGCATCCTGCACCTCCCTCCACACCCTCCCCGGCCACGGAAAAGCCTGTTCCCAGTCTCCAACATCTCAGGAACCAGGTAGCTTTTTCCCCTCCCTGCACATCCTGGCCCTACACCCACCCCCAGCAGCCGAGGGGGCTTCTCCCAGTGCCGTGTGGGAGGGAACAGCCCAGTGAGGGGCTCAAACTGGGAGAAACCCTTTTCCTCTGCGGCGGTGTGGCTCATTCCGTGTCTCCACACGGCCGGAGCGACACACACGAGCTGGTATCTTAAGACCAAGGCAATTACTACCAGCAGGGAGACAGTGGAAGAGAAGGAAGGACACAAACTGGGTTTTGTGCTAAAATTCCGCGCGCTGCCGTCACCGGGCAGGACCCTGGGAAGGCCAGGACACAGACTCCTCACCTCTGAGTCTTCTGCGCTTTCGTAATCGGAGAGTACGGCTGCGGGGGAGAGAGAGGAGTTTGGTGTCAGGGCAGGAGCAGAGACAGCTTCTCTCTGTGCGTCAACACGGCCAGAGAGAGCACCACAGTGTCCCCAAGTGTCACCACCACCTCACACAGGAGGAGGCAAGGGTGGATTTGTGGCACACTGTCCCCACACCCCACATTTTCCTGCTATTAATATTTGCGATGACAACCACCCCAGGACTATTAGAAAAGGCGTTTTGCCCAGTTTTTTTGCTTTTTGCACCCAGACAGCACTCCCAGAGGGAGCTGTTACTCACCATCTCCTTCAATGCCATCCTCGCTTTCCTGCGGAGAGAGGGAGAGAAAGGTGTTAGGAGAGGGGAAGGTCAGCAGCCGGGTCCCTGCCCCATCCTACCATCCCAGACTTAATTAAGTCCGTTTGGCCCGGGTTTTATCACAATCCACCCTTGGAAGCTCAGCTTCAGTGACTGGGAAAGAAAAAACCAAATTCAGGGCTCCCAGTGCCTTTCTCTAAGATCCTTCTAGAGTGAGTTACGCCAAGGGAATGCGGCTTGAGGAAAAAAAAGCACCAATTGTGTGAATTCCTGGATGTCTTCTGAGGAAAAAGGTGACATGGAGAGACAAGGCAAGCTCCCCTCCCCGAGCAGAGAGCCAGCCAGCCAACTCGGGAAAGGACAAGAGGATTACTTAAAGCAGGAGCCCAGGAATAACGAGCAGATGCCGAGCGGGACCAAGCTTAGAGAGATGTCTGCGAGAGGCTCCAGAGACAGAAACACAACCCCGCGCCCAGAGAAGACACCGGGTGAAGCAAAACAGCTCAAACCAGGGAAAGATTCTACTACAGGAACAGAGGGATGGAGCTGCACGGTAAAAACAACCTCAGACCAAAAATAAAAGCAGCCAAGGCGTTAACGAGATAAGCCCAAAGGCCAAAACAAGGGAGCAGAAACACCCAGATTCAGGGTGTTTCTGGGAACTTCAGGTTCAGGGATTCAGGGAAACTTGAAATAATCAGGACTCCAGGACTATAAACCCCGACAGGACAAAATCCCACCCGGCCCTGAGCTGCCCCAGGAGAAGACCTGCCTGGCAGTGGTGGGGGAGAGCAGCACCACAAACTCCCCAGAAAAGGTTTTTTAACTCCAAAGGTGGCTGGTTGGAGTTGATAAAGAGCGGAAGGGACCTGACCGAGCAGCAAACATCCCCCCCACCTGCACCCCAGGCTGGGGGATGGGACCCCGGTGTGGGGAACCAGCTGAAGGGGGAAGCCCCTGCCCGGTGCTGGGGGGTCAGAGAGCCCCACTCTCCCCCTGGAGCTGCATCCACACACACGGGGGGGGCGGGGGAATACAGCCTGGCTCCCCCAATTCCTTCAGCTCTCCAGCCCCCCCTCACCCCAGCGTCCCCCCAAGTCCCTCCAATTCTCCCCAAGTCTCAATACCAACCCAACCGCTCCCCCGTTCCCCTCCAGCCCCCCCCC